CCCCGTCCCCGATCATCCCCGTCCCCAGCCTCTCATGTGGGAGGTGCTGGAGGTTGTGAATGGCGGCTCTGGGTGTGCGTTCCTCGCCCTCCTCCTAGGACAGTATTGCAGCCTAATTGCTGATCACAAGATGTCCCTGACACGCATGTGATGTGCTGCGGGCACTGCCGGCCCGGCTATGACGCCGAAACAAACTAGAAGAGGCTGAATAGCTGACACACGCCGCGTACAACCCGACCGACGCTGCAAACCGTGCGCAGCAATCCTCCAACACCCGCGCTGCACACTGACACTGCGCACAACTGGAAACACGCACAACGCACGGCACGGGACACCGACTGCACCACAACACTGCACAACCACAACGCCCACAGCACAACGATTCACACGGCTTCAGACACACGGCTGCAAACACACACACACACACTGCACGGCACAGGACACTGACTGCACCACAACACTGCACAGCACAACCTCACTGCGCACAAAACAACGATTCACTCGGCTTCAGACACACGGCTGCAAACACACACACACACACACACACACTGCACGGCACAGGACACTGACTGCACCACAGCACTGCACAGCACAACCTCACTGCGCACAAAACAACGATTCACTCGGCTTCAGACACACCGCACGGCACAGGACACCTACTGCACCACAGCACTGCACAACACAACCACACCGCGCAATTCACACTGCTTCTGACACACAAACATTGCACCAAACACGCCAGCGCAGGCACCACTACACCATTGCACCGCACAGCTGCAGACACGCCGCCTTTGGCGAATCTGCTGCATGCCGTGTCACCTGTACGGTCCGCGCTCACACCTTGTCACACGGCTTGTCCCTCCTGCCGTCACACTGTCACACCTACACACTGACACAAGCTCAGCAGTCAGAAGGCTGGGGACGGCGACAGCATGAAGAAGTGGATGAAAGTGAGGCAGATCCGCAGGGCGTCCTCTGTGAGTATGCGGCAGAAATGTCGCCCTGTCCCTTGGCCGGGGACTGTGGAGGGGTGTCCTGCCGG